TTTTTTCTTTTAAGATCAATGTGAGTGGGGGCATTTGCCCCCAACGAATATAAGGTGCCTCCGTCCATGCCTGGGATGAGGTAGCCTCCCCTTTTTCTAAAGTTTTGGTTACCGAAAAAGAAATTCTTGCATATACATTATAATTGCTAGAGTATTTACTATTTTATGAGTTCCTTTTCTATTCGAGCTGTTTTATAATTTAATTTAAATTATGAAGAGGGGGATTCAAACTCGAGTGCATGAAGAATACATTGTTTTAATCTATAGTCAACTTAGCTCAACCCAAACTTGCTATTATTTTCGAAGTTGAAAAAAGAAAACAATCTAAAGAAACCCAACCAAGCAACTTAGTACTACGGTCTAGTGATATTCCTCTTTACTTATAAGTGAGAGGTTTTAGGTTCGATTCTTATAAATGAGAGGTTTTAGGTTTGATTATCGTCAAAGACGAATTTGAACTTTGAACCACATTATTGTTAGCCCATTATGAGGCTAAGCCTACCTCTTCCCCTTAGTGTAAATACTAATGTTTGTTCAAAAAAAAAAAAAAAAAACCAACCAAATGAAAACAACTAAACAAGCATACATCAATGAAAAAATCAAGGGAAAGTATCCAAGAAATTAAATCATTTCTAAACAGATGAACACATCTAAAAAGGATGTAGCGAGGACCAAGCATGGAGAGATCGAAATTATCTTGATGGAGCAATGCCAAAGCAACAACAAGTACTGCTAATTGTTAAAGGAAGATGAATTTTTATAGGTGGGAATGGGGGACCAAACACATATATAAAACCTAAAAGAATATTCTCCCAAATAAAGAAAGCCAAACATGCATGACACCAACCAACCTTTTTCTGCATCAAGTTTTGTTTTCTTCACTTTATCTTTGCAATTGTTGTTATGTGATGCAATCGTTCACGGATTCCACATGGATATTATTTTTTTGGAGTACATCGATATTTACACTAAGAGGAGGGTGAGTTCGGTTAAACCACAGAATGAGCAACCTAATTTAGTATCGAATTCGTCGTTCAAGAGATTCGAACATAAGACCTCTCACTTCCAAGTGAAGAGGAATACCAACAGATTGTAGTATTGAGTGACACATGGATACATTTTAAACTATATAAATAGTAAAAGAAATGCCAAGAATACTCTCTCAAAAGTGAGACTTTTCATAAATTTTTTGTCATATGTTTGTGGCACAATGTTTTATACTATTGGCATAAGAATTAACGTTAAATTGTAAGGTAGCAAAGAGTTTATAAAGATCCTACTTTTGAAATACTCTCCTTAACATTTCTTAAAAAAATAATTTAAAATCGTTAAAACTAAATTTAAAAAAATAATACGAGATGCGCCTGCGTTTTCACAATAGCAAGAAGAATACTCAATGCCAAGAAGAGGAATGTGGAACCCATCGGCAAAAGGAGATCATCGTCAACGAAAGGCCATCTCCACGATCGGCCCTAAAAGCATTTTTAATAGGGCCTTTATCCTTTACGAGATTACTACATTTCAAGTTTTAGTGAAAATTTTATCTTTAATGAACCGGAAAATAAGGGTAGATTCACCATTAGAGTTAGCAATTTCCTTTCTTGAGTAGCGTAAAATTGGGTTATATCTAGCCCAAAAAACAGTAGGTCCCATAAAAAAGTAGCAACCCATGTGAGCAAAATTCTATCACTCTCTTTCCACTTGTAAATACACTTATACTCTCCTTTTATTTAATTTTTTTTAATTCTTTTTTCTTACATATTTTTATTGCAATTTGGCTGATTAATGATTGTTTTAAATTCCATGAGAATTAAAATTGCAGATTGATTTAACATTCATCGGCATTTGTGGGTGAAATTTTCAAATAATTTTTTTTTAAAAGTGTATGATATTAATTTACCAATTGGTACTTGGTAAATTGTTGTGTTGTACTTGAAAATAAAATTATTTCAGATAGCAAAGTAGGGATTTGTATTTTTCAACGAATGAGATTGAGATAAGATAATCTAATCAAACGAACGGTTCATAAGTGATGAAATCTAATTTTTCCACAATTTGAACTTTTTTAGGTTGAAAGGATTCATAAAACAAATTTAAGATACATGCTATATATGGTAAATGTAGAAAAAAAAATTGATTACAAGCTGACAAGTAGAGTAGTGGACTTCTTATACTTCCTCTGTTTTGAAAATGAGCCCATACCATGCATACCAGTTTAGGAATCTGCTTGGCCGGTCCTGGTTTTTTCTTTTTACCAGACAAACAAAAACCTACCCTTGCTTAACAACTTAAAGGAACGTATTTCTCGTGTAATATTTTTAGCTTGGCTTCTTCTCCAAGGCTTTCACCATCATTCCTCTACAATTCTCTTTCTCTCACTTTCTTTTTCAAATTCTAAATCTCTCTGTACAAGGACGGGACGAATTAAAATATAACATTAGGTTTAGAAGATTGCAATTCAAGGTAAGAATATAGAAACTATGACGTTTATCGTTTTTAATTTGGTAAATTATGAATTTAGATTTTATTGTTGTAGAAATATTTTGTTTGGTGTGTTATTTTTTTTTGTTCCCATCTAAATTTTCATAATTGATGATATGATAATATAATTAAAAATTAATTATAAAAAAAGTTAAATTATATGATCGTTATACATTGAAAGACTTATAAACTAAGGGCATCCTAACAATGCCACGCCTAGAACTCCTGAAATCTCAAAGCCGACCCTGACCATTGTTGTAATGACCGAGTCGAGGATGTCATCCAAGCTTGTCGAACCTTGGCAAATTTCTTGTTCAGATTGGCATGCTGTCTCAAATTGAGGGAGAGGCTGTACTGGGAGAATGTCGGTTGTTGTTTGGTGTCAGACACCAATGGGGAGGAGCTGATGGATGGGTCAGATGGACGTTGGTGTGGCTGGATTGGGGTGGTGTATCTGTGTGGCCAGAGTGAGGAGGGGAGGAGCTGACGTATAGACGGTGAAGGGATGAGATTGAAAACAGTGGTATCAGAGGTGGAATGTGGATGGGCTAGGGGTATTTGGGTGAGGTCAGAGTGGGGAAGATGGTGGCTTGCGGCGGGAAAGATGATGACTTTGTAGTTGGGTGCTTTCACGGAGGCCAAATCCTCACTCAAATACTTATTGAGGCTATAGAGAGGCTACTAGTATTTTGGTTGTAGAAGATTTGATCTCGTTTTCACGAAGTTTTTTTTTTTCTTCTTCTTCTTCTTATTTTTATGTTATTTATTTATTTATTTATTTGTTATCATTTTTTAAATTTTAAATTAATTGATTTTTTATTTTTTTTAATCCATGTAGAATCCTCATGTGTACATCAACAAACGAACAGAAGTTTTAACAAAAAAATAATATTGATTTTCACCATCTATCCAGAGATTATATTGATTAATTTTTAATTTCAGAAACAATATGAATTGGACGGATCAATTTTATAAAGGCTTTTTAACCAAAATGAACATTAAGATTAGCATAATAACTGACTTTGATCCGTAAAAAATCTTTGTTAAATAAAGAAGAACGACAAAAATACCCTCAAATCTCAAAGATCAAAATATAAAATTATGCGAAATTCAAAAACTATTTTGATTAAAATAACTTTTATGAACCATTTATAATAAAAAAAATTTGAAAATATTATCTAGAAGATTTTCAATTTCCAAGAGCAAAAAGGTGATGTGATAAGTCAAAGTCACTATATATCATACCACCACATTGGTATAAATGCATAAAGTGAAATGCACCACAAGTGGCAATCCCATTTCTACATCATGATTCATGATCAATGGTTTACACCCCAAAGCTTATCTTGATAATACAACAACAGATAGACATCGATCCTTCATGTGATCAACCTCATTTGACCGTTGAATTCTTCTACCTTTAACGAAAATATAGATGAACATGAATTCACAGATGATGTCCATTGAATGGAAGGGAGCAATTCTAGAAATTGAGACGCTTTTGGATCCGGAATTGACGGATATAAAGATCTAGACCATTCATTTTAAATTTTATAGTTTTCATTAACCCATTTTCCTAATCCACCTCACACAAATCAGAGGTGCAGATCTCTCTTTCTCTCTCTTTGACGGTCGAAACTTCAAGTCTTTAGACTCCGACTACATAAATCCAAAAAGAATCTCAACTCAAATTTTAAGGTATTTTATGTGTTTGTCTCTTATATCATATAATTTGTAAATAACCGTGATAAAGCAAAATTTCTCCCTCATTAATGTCAAATAGATGTCAAAGAAGCACCTAATCTATAATTTATAGAGTGACCTTATAAAACCATTTGAATGTCACCCTTTTTTAGAATCATGTCATTATGAAAGATCAAATAGACGTCCAAAAAGTAGTCAAAATGTCTCTCTCGTCAAACAATATCATCCACAAGATCAAATAGATGTTAAAGACGTAATATGCAATTACGTTGTGATATCTTAATTATAAGCTCATTTAAATTAAGGAAATTGTTATTAGCACTCTAAAAATTTAATTCTACACTCGTAACTTTCTATATTTAGAAAGAAAAATACATTTATTAGAAATATAGAATAAAATTTTTGAAATGTCAATAACACTTCTCTAAATTAATTGCATTTGTACTTTCAAATACTAAATCAAATCAACATATCCGGTACTTCGGAGTATTCAAAAAGTTTTGGTAATGGCCATTCTCTTACACAAAATCCTGCAATTTTCCTGACACATGGTAAAAGCGCAAATTTTGACAACAACACCACTATCATAAGTGTGGCCATTGAAACTGTGCTTCTGGTTTTTATTGCAATGCAATGAACCTCACCTGCCTCCTGCAACTCCATCTCACCATTCAAGAACCCTCATTTAGTTTTCTTGCACTCTCCATTAATATTTATACACTTCTGTGGCTAAAGACTTTATGTTCAAACCCTCAACCCCCCAACTCCAACCAAATCGCTTCTGATTTTCTTCCTCTGTACTTTTTTCTTCTCCCATGGAACTTCAAAGACTTTTGCTCCTCATAATTGTAACTTCAGTGGAAACCCTAATTGTCCTGCAAAAAAGAGAACCCATTTTCCACTTCCTCCATCTCTCATGCCTGATCATTTTCTTGACCCTCAAGTCTTGCTTCTTCTCAAACCCTACTCAAGTCTATTTGGTGGACTTTTCATGCTTAAAACCACCAAGCTCCTGCATTGTTCCCTTCTCCAAATTCCTCGGAAACGCCTCAAAGTTCGAATCTTTCGACAAGGAAAGCCTCGCTTTCATGGCGAAAGTGCTCGCTTCTTCAGGTCACGGCCAAGAAACCTACCTTCCTCCAGCCCTACACCACATTCCGCCATTGTCCCACCACCAAGAATCCATCGAAGAAGTCCACATGGTGCTCTTTCCCATCATGGATGATCTTTTGGCCAAAACAAACCTTTCTCCGCAAGAAATTGACATTTTGATAGTGAACTGCAGCGGCTTCTGTCCTTCTCCTTCTTTCGCCTCCATTGTCATCAACAAGTACTCGATGCGAAGCGACGTAAAGAGCTACAGTCTCTCTGGCATGGGGTGCAGCGCAAGCGCTTTAGCCATTGATTTGGCTAAAAATCTTCTGAAAGTTCACAAGAATTCTTATGCCGTTGTTCTTAGCACGGAGATTTTATCAACGGGCTGGTATGCAGGACACGAGCAGCCTAAGTTGATCCTCAATTGCGTCTTCCGAATGGGGAGCGCGGCAATCTTGCTTACGAACAAGAAACAAGAAAAAATGAATTCGAAATACGAACTGTTCCTGACACTAAGAACCCAGAAAGCGTTTGATGATAGGGCTTATCTTTCGACCATACGCGAAGAAGACTCTAATGGAAAACTTGGCGTCACCATAAAGCGAGATATTCTAGAGGCATGGTCTGAAATTTCGATAGCAATCTCGAAATTTCTTCAATTTATTTCTGAATACAACATTTTTTTCGATTTTACCTTAAATTTCCATATAGTTTCTCCAGACATTGGTATCAATAATCCTTGCGTGATCACATTGATAAGTTAAGAACAGTTCGTATTATCTATATAAATGTGATCAGCGATGTGATTAATAAACATGATACAAATAGCGACACTTGTAAGAATAGCTGCAAATACTTGTGTGTTTGAAAGCTCAAATAATTTCTGCTAACATCGTTATTTAATACCTTACCACAGGTGGCTGGAGAGTTACTTCGTTGGAATGTGATGGTTCTCGGCTCTTCAATCTTGCCATTCTTGGAAAAATTTCGATATGGGGTTTCAGTAATCCGGAAGCGGTACATTGACAAGTCTACAGAGATTTACGTGCCGAATTTCAAGACTGTGATCGAGCATTTTTGTTTGCCGACTTCTGGGAGGCAGTTGGTGAGCGAGCTGGCCAAAGGGTTGAAGCTTGGGGATAGGGAAATGGAGGCTGCTCTGATGACACTGCACAGATTTGGGAACCAGTCATCGTCTTCGCTGTGGTATGAATTGGCATACTTGGAGGCCAAACAAAGAGTGAAGAAAGGTGATAGGGTTTGGCAGCTTGGAATGGGGACTGGGCCAAAATGCACTAGTTTGGTTTGGAAATGCATAAGGCCCATGGATGAGGATGAGTCCAAGAAGGGCCCTTGGGCCGACAGCATCCATCGGTATCCGTTGGTTGCCGTGGATCGATGAGCTTGAATGGAATCCGTTGATCAACATGGTCAAATTGGCTAAGAACCGGCTTAACTCACATCTGCAAATTTTCATTTATCTATTTTCTCACAAATTTGCCGGCAACGAACCAAACTATCAAAATTTGAAAGATTTCTATTGTGGATTTTAAGTTGAAAAACTGTACCCGGCTCTTTTCTTATTGTCCTTTATGTGACATTAATTCTAGATGCATTGGATATCACTTGTTCCTACAAATTTAAGAGTACAAATCTTACAGACAACAAAGTAAAAATGTGAAAATTTGTTTTATACTCCCAACATATTTAAGGCCATGAAATTGAAAGTTTAATACTCACAAGTTTTTAAGTCTTGAAGGATGCCCTTGAAGTAAAGGGACGAACGTCAAGACTCAAAGGCTCCGTAATGAATGATTGTATACAATTGGCGATAAGACATATTTTCTCTAAGCGAGCCGGAAGCATCTTCACGTATATTACCACTCCTCTATTCTGTGTCTATATAACATTCATGTAAATTTATGACATTCCGATTCCAAGTTCCAACCCAATTTATGAACCTCATCTAAATCTGTCCTTATCAACTGTCCTCAAATTACACAAACCTATACGACGATAATTTTTTTTCCCCAAAAGGATAAGCCTTGAATGCTGGAAGAAGAAGAAAAATAGAGACGTTGGGAGCAGTAAATATATGGGGCAAATATTTATGGTTTTAGAAACGGGACCAAAAGGGTACACAAGTAAAACCATATATAGCGCCATTGTTACCTGTAACGGTGGTGAATCGACGATGATCATGGCATTCCTTTCATCTGTGATAGTGATCACTGGTGCCATCTGTAACCTGTTGTCGATGGAGCATTTTGTGTTATGTACAATATAGAGTTCCCTTCCATGGAGGTTATATCAAATAAGTTCGTTTAAGCGATATTTTGCAGGGCTATCTCCGCACTGTATTTCAACTATCTAAATCGTCATTTTTTCAATTACCACTCCACTTGTATATCAACCTCTAAAGCCTAAGCTATATATACACATCACCTTGTGCATTTGGTCTAATTAATTATCAACTTATGTAGTAGGAGCTCTTAATCAAGTCAACAAAACAGCTTCTCCTACCTTCAATTATCAGTTTAAGCGGCTAAACCTAAACCTACCCGGTTAATTAAAAAGTAAGGTAACTTCATGGATGATTTTAACCTCGTTGGTGGTTGAACTTGAACACTGCTTTTTCTCTTCTTTTTTGTACAGCATTTACTGCCACCAGCATTGCTGGTAAATTTAACACCACCGGTCCACCGCGACCGCTGTAGTAACCACTGCATGCAGATGCAGCAAGTTAGCAACCACCTTTATAGAGATCACCATCGAAATTAAACGGCCAAGTGGGTGGCTGAGCTTGCCGTAGTGATGGGGTTTCCAAAATTTTCTTCCCTCCACAAACATAAAAAGCTGGGCACTTTCTGACCCGCATGTGTGTATTTACTCTGCTCTCAGAACAAAGGATTTAATGTAATTTTCCCAAAAAAAAAAAAAAAACGAAGGATTTAATGTACCTTTTTCTCCTTTGAGATGGACTGACCAGTGCCATTGAGTTGTCATACATATTTGCTCCCCATCCAACCTCATCCTTTTTTCCACACCAAGAACAATAATTGAATTTTGTTTGCTTCAAATGGATAGTTTCCACACCAAGAACAATAATTGAATTTTGTTTGCTTCAAATAGATAGATGCCCTTCAAATAATTTTTTCTTCTTCTTGTTCTTTGATATATATAAACAAACAAAAATCATTTGCCAATAAAATTAATTACAACGACTAATGATCTTTTTGGTTACATTTGAGAAATCTTTTACATACACATTATCACGCAATGTTACCGATCCGTGCGTTAGAATTTGAAACAGACTATTGCAGTGAACTTGTGGCAATAGTCAAATCCATGTGTTATGACATGAGCATATGAGTAATACTACTTTGCAGTGTGACATTCAGACCATCTCTAACCAAGGGCTATATGTCGTGTTCAACTCTAAAATTGACAATATCAACCTCCAATCAAAAGGCTAAAGGGAATTGGGCTACAAAAATCATGCTAAGTTTAGCCCCAACCCAGGCAACATGTAGCTCCGGCAGACTAAGTTTGGCCCCCAAAAATAATAAAATATGAGGGAAAATATAATATAACCTTGCATGGTTGGAGATGAAAATTTAGTGCTGAAATAGCATTTAAAATATTAATTTTTAGAGAACTAATATATAATCAAGGATACTGTTAACCCTTCATGATTAGAGAAGACATAACATTGATAATTTCGTCTGACATGATATACATGAATTCCTGGGGACAAGATCAAATTACTAGATGTTAGTTTTGCACAACATAATTTAACCTCAATTAAGATTCTGCAATGTCTTGGAAATTTGATACGACGTTAAAGTTAGAATAAACCTACACGACACGCACAATTGTTTGAAAATTGGGACAAGGGCATCAATTTCTTTCATGCTCCCCACTAGAGGAGCCAGCTTTGTAGAATGGCAGTATTTGACTAGATTATCGAAATTCACAGAAGTTGGATACCAATGCATGGAAAAGCCTTCGCCATCCTTCCCTATGTTCCAAAAACTTACGCCTATAAGGTTACAACAGCTAAATTACAGCCAGATTACTATTACACCTATAAGGTTACAATGGTTAAATTACAGTCAGATTACTATGACGGTATTTTAAATTAATTACAGTATTGTTCTGCAATTTGATTTTCTCATTTAACAATATTTGATTGATTTAGAATACTATTACAGTAACATTTTCATAATATACAAGTCATTCTCTTTGAATATATATGATTACCTAGATTATCTAACTTATTAACTGTTTAAAGGGGCGATCTTAAATCAATAAGGCTCCCTGCTTTGCGAGAGTCAAGAAAAGAACGTTTATGATATGTAACCTTACTCTCGCTTTACAAAAAGATTGTTTTCACAACTCAAATCCGTGATAAAAAATATTAATCATGGACCAAATGCAGCATCATCCAAACTCTTTAGGTTCGATTTTGCGGTGCTGAGATCAAGTTCCATTTTTGTGGGACTGGATGGCCCATAACGTACTACACGAAGTTACAGTCCCACTATTATTAAAGCAATTCTGTGCACTTCATTTGTTATTCTTGCCTCATAATATTCTACTCCCAACTGCCCACCTTACTTACCACCAGTAATGCCAACGTGGCATTCAATATTACAGACCAAATTATAATGTTTCTGTTTTACTTTACTGTTAAGAATATGAGATTTATCCCGTTGATTCTGGAGGTGAATTTAACTCTAGTACTGTACAAGTCTACAAATGCAAACTTAATATTTATGATTTATGCATGCAAATCATATGGTTCAATCAAGCATACAAATTATACCATGCAAGAAAATTAAAACACATGACCGTGCATGATTAGGATGGAACACAGTGACATCTCAGGTATAGGTAAGTTTCTCTCTCGTTGAAGACTCGATTTCTTTTTTAACGATGAAAATCATCAATCGGGAGATGATAAGAAGGAATTGGTATATTATCAAATTCATTAACATAAGTAATCGATTGTGTATATTATCGTGGAATATGCACTGTTTTTTACTGCGTGTATTTCATGAAAGACAATTGAGTTCAATAATTTTCAAAATCCACATTATAGTAAACTCGCGAAAGTAAAGAATCGAAATGGTTTCAATTCTCATTTACCGTACCGTAAGTAACGATATCACAACAATCAAAAGGAATTCAACTTGTTCCATGACAGCAGCTAGCCAGCTCTCCCATATCTACTTAGCAATAGTGCATTCATGAAAAAACCAACCATCTTTAATACGCGCACATGTTGCCACAGCAGATGTCCCTCTCCCTCCTTTCTCACTGATATTTCTACCCTCCAAAGTACCATTTTCCATAAACCCTCACTCGCTCGCTCGCTCACTCCCCCACTTCACTATCTCTTCCTCAACACTTCTTCTTCTTCTTCTTCCTCCTCATTGCCTGATGAAAATGGTAGAAAAACCAGAGAAATGGCAGGTTTTAACCCTAACAATCTTCATGTTCTTCAACATTGCCCTCTCTGCAAAAACCCCATTGACAAAAAAGACCTACATTGTCCAGATGGACAAGTCAGCCAAGCCAGAGTCTTTCTCCAACCACATAGATTGGTACTCATCAAAAGTGCAAGCCGTACTCATCAAACCAGATAATCAAGAAGACGGAGGCGAAGATCAACAAAGGGTACTCTACACTTACCAGAACGCCTTCCACGGCGTCGCCGCCCGGCTAAGCGAGCAAGAAGCCGAGCGGCTAGAGGAGCAAGACGGAGTCTTAGCGATTTTTCCAGAGACCAAGTACGAGCTCCACACCACAAGGAGTCCCCTGTTTCTTGGGCTCGAACCGCATGTCAGAGCCAGCACCACCAATGTCTGGTCACAACGAGTCACCGACCACGACGTCATTGTCGGGGTGCTGGACACGGGTGTCTGGCCGGAGAGCCAGAGCTTCAACGACACTGGCATGACCCCGGTGCCCGCCCACTGGAAGGGAGCGTGCGAAACCGGCCGCGGCTTCACCAAAAGCAACTGCAACAAAAAAATTGTTGGAGCGAGAATTTTTTACCACGGATATGAGGCAGCCACGGGGAAGATCAACGAGCAGACGGAGTTTAAGTCGCCGAGAGATCAGGACGGGCATGGGACCCACACTGCCGCCACAGTTGCCGGGTCTCCGGTGCGCGGTGCTAATCTTCTCGGGTATGCTCGTGGAACGGCCAGAGGAATGGCGCCGAGTGCGAGAATTGCGGCGTACAAGGTTTGCTGGGTCGGCGGCTGCTTCAGCTCGGATATTCTGTCGGCGGTGGACAGAGCGGTGGCGGATGGAGTCAATGTGTTGTCTATATCTTTAGGAGGAGGTGTGTCTTCTTATTACCGGGACAGTTTGTCCGTGGCGGCTTTTGGGGCGATGGAGATGGGAATTTTCGTGTCCTGCTCCGCCGGAAATGGAGGACCGGATCCTGTTAGTCTGACGAATGTGTCCCCCTGGATAACCACGGTTGGAGCTAGCACCATGGATAGGGATTTTCCAGCTACTGTGAAGCTCGGAAATGGCAGGACTATTACCGGGGTTTCGCTCTACAGGGGAAGGATGAAGCTGTCAACAAACAAGCAATACCCTGTTGTGTATTTAGGAAGCAATTCAACTAGTCCTAATCCGAGCTCGCTGTGTTTGGAGGGGACGTTGGATCGCAGAGTTGTGGCCGGAAAGATTGTGATTTGCGACCGTGGGATTAGTCCTAGAGTGCAGAAGGGAGAGGTGGTGAAAGAAGCCGGAGGAGTTGGGATGATCTTGGCAAACACAGCTGCAAACGGAGAGGAGCTTGTGGCGGATTGCCACCTTGTTCCGGCAGTTGCTGTGGGAGAGAACGAAGCAAAGGGAATCAAGCATTATGCTTCAACAAGCCCGAGAGCCACCGCAACTCTAACGTTTCTTGGAACTAGAGTTGGGGTTAGACCGTCGCCCGTGGTGGCAGCGTTTTCATCCAGAGGGCCTAATCTGGTAAGCCTTGAGATTCTCAAGCCGGATATGGTGGCACCAGGAGTGAACATCCTCGCCGCTTGGACAGGCGCATTAGGCCCGTCCAGCTTGCCAGCGGATCGTAGAAGGGTGAAGTTCAATATACTGTCCGGGACTTCAATGTCCTGCCCCCATGTGAGCGGCATTGCCGCTCTGCTCAAGGCAAGGCACCCGGATTGGAGTCCGGCTGCAATAAAGTCCGCCTTGATGACAACCGCATATGTCCACGACAACACGCGAAAGCCTCTACAAGACTCCTCGGCAGCTTCAATTTCAACCCCGTATGATCACGGTGCAGGGCACATCAACCCGGGGAGGGCTCTTGACCCGGGTTTGATTTACGACATTGAGGCTCAGGACTATCTTGAATTCCTCTGCACACAAAGGCTAACACCAACACAGCTCAAAGTTTTTGCCAAGTACTCAAACAGAAGTTGCAAGAACAATCTAGCCAGTCCCGGGGACTTGAACTATCCGGCACTATCGGTTGTGTTCCCGGACAGAACAAATGTTTCTGTTTTGACACTCCACAGGACTGTCACTAATGTTGGCCCTGCGGTTTCGAATTACCACGCCATTGTTTCACCGTTCAAAGGTGCTTATGTGAAAGTCGAGCCTCGGACGCTGAAATTCACCAAAGCCAATCAGAAGCTGTCATACAAAATCATCTTCACTACGAAATCCCGGCAGGCGGTCCCGGAGTTCGGAGGGTTGGTGTGGAAGGATGGAGTGCACAGGGTGAGAAGCCCCATTGTTGTAGTGTGGCTGCCACCACTATAAATCCTGCACCGGATTAATTTCAATGTGTGTTTTTATTAGTGCTTTTGAATAAACAAATTTTCTGTAATAGTTAGCATCCTTCCTCTGCTTCTTACTGTGATCTTCTAGCTACTGTCAACCTTAGAACACGAGCGAAACAACGATGTGCGGTGAAAACGTAGATTAAGCAAGTTCAAATCACATTGGTGTTGTTAAGTAGAAGATTCAGAACTAGATTAGAATAATTTCATAATTTGCTCAATTTCCATATTGATTCACATGTTTCTGCACTATTTTCATGTCACGACTCACAAGCACTTAGTAGGAGTTCTAGTAGTTTTTGCAAGGATGACAATTTCAGACATGCACGAAACAAAACAAATTTAAACACGACATGTTGTAGGAATCGAGATCCACGATATTTGTAGCCGCATAAATATGAAGATTTTATGTTAGGTTATACCTTACCGAAATTTCAACTTGTCCAAAGATCAAGTGCATTTGATATTCGAGATGCCGTATTGATTGTATGAATATTTCAATTCGGATGTCTCCGGTTATACTTAAGTTTTTCTCCGAACTGTTGAATACAAATTGGATCAATATCATCATGAACAGCTTATGCTTCTTTATAGTATAGATGATGGATGTTTTTGAGATACATGTATCTATGTTTAGAAAGACTATATTTGTGATATCCCACATCATCCAGGGGAGTGATCCTTAAATGTATATTCTCATCCCTATCTAGCACGAGGCCTTTTGGGAGCTCACTGCCTTCGGGTTCCATGGGAACTCCGAAGTTAAGCGAGAAGGGGGCTAGAGCACTCTTAGGATGGGTGACCTATTGGGAAGTTCTCATGTGAGTTCCTAGAAATAAAATCGTGAGGGTGTGCTGGGGGCCCAAAGCGGACAATATCGTGCTACAGTGGAGTCAGGCTTGGGAAGTGGTTCTGCCTGGGCCGGGATGTGACAATTTGGTATCAGAGCCTAACCCTGGCTGCGTGTGTGCCGACGAGGACGTCGGGCCCCTAAGGGGGGTGGATTGTGACATCACCCAGGAGAGTGATCCTTAAATGTATATTTCCATCCCTATCTAGCACGAGGCATTTTGGGAGCTCACTAGCTTCGGGTTCCATGGGAACTCCGAAGTTAAGCGAGAAGAGGGCTAGAGCACTCCCAGGATAGGTGACCCATTGGGAGGTTCTCGTGTGAGTTCCCAGAAATAAAACCGTGAGGGTGTGCTGAGGGCCTAAAGCGGACAATATCATGCTACGGTGGAGTCGGGCTCGGGAAATGGTCCCGCGCGGGGCCAGAATGTGACAATATTCAATGGTTTTGTGCATATCTAGTGGTCACTGTTTTGCCTTCGGGCTATGTTACTTATATTGCCTTCGGGTAGTCGTGTGTAAGGCATTGTTATGTGCATATGGAAGATCATACTTATATTGCCTTCGGGTGGGCATGCGTAGGACACTATTTTGTGCAGAAGAGAAATACTGATATCACTAGTTAGCACACTATATACGAGATGTTTATGGAAAGGTTTTATGGCATGCTAGGGTTTCGGAAACATATTACATATTATGCTATTAGTTTTCATAAAACTTTGGGGGTTAGTATGTTGGTAACTGTTTCAGTAATATATATATATATAGCAATTTGGTCTACTCTTGTTTGTTTTGCGCCCCTTCAAGACATAGGGATAAGGAATACGACCCGAGTTACGAGGCATTCCCCTACCAGTGACATCGTGCTATTTTACCTTTGCTTCAACATCGATTGTAATAGCATTTTTTCGCTTGTACTATGTATTAGATGTATACTCTGAATATTTCATGCATTATCATAATAATTCATTGTTGACAGTTGAATATTGTTATTGTGATAATACATTACTACTGCATGAATAGTCACATCGTATTATCTTGCTACAATTATGGTGCATGTTTCACATATTCTTAGCATTTGCATTCATAAATGGTTTGCATCACCTTCGGGTGTTGGCCAACACATGACCATCCCGATGTCCCGAGGACATTGGGATCGGGACGTGTCATGTTTAATGTTTTTTTTACAAAAATACCCTTGGAGATGAGAAATCAATTTTTCACGTTAGTTTTGGATTTTTTTTTTTAATTCAGGGTTTTTTTTTTTAGTCCAATTGTCTTGTGAAACCTTGTGACTTTAAAGCAAGGTTCTAAAAGACGCTAGGCGCTAGTCGGACGACGAACTGAGGTCTAGCACTTAGGCAGCTAGGCAGGGCCTAGACGGGAACCTAGATGAACTAGGTAGATTTAAATAAATTTAATATATATCGTATTAATAAGTGTCTATTTATATCTTGAAAAAATTATACTTGCATTTTTCTTAAATTTTGATTGATAAAGAGTGTTCAATTAACAGGTAATATAAAAATACCACTAATTGACTCAAAAAATTCATAAAATAATTAGGTTCATTTTGGACTTTAAAAGTTGGGTGGACAAGCCAAGCCCATTACATTGCCAAAGTCCATATATTTAAGGTTCAAATAAAAAAGATGCTTTTATGCTATTTCACTTATAAACACAACCCACGACCACGACGTCGTTTAGTGTAGGTTATTTTAAAATGTTACTATTCATTATCGTCATCTTCCTCCTTTATCGCGACCGCGCAGCTTTTCTATACCCAGAAACGCTTTGAAGATATGCGGCTGTAGTACAAAGTTTCCCAAGAAACTCAGCTGAGCCTTGCCCGCCTAACGCTGCCTTGCCCGTCTAGCGCCGCTGAATGGGTTATCAGATTTTTCTAACGATTAGGCCATAATTGAAACGGCAGTCAGCCGTGTAACGCCTAGCGGCTGCCTAAACGATTTTCAAAGTTCTGGCTTTTAAACAATAAAAATAATTTTTTTTTAACAAACGATATTATATGCGTTAAAGAGGGATGTTGAGATTAGCCTCATATTTTTTTAATAATGTTAAGAAAATTAAAATTTTAAATAAAATTTACAAAATAAATAATATATAATTAATTAAAAATATCACGTTCATTGATATTTAATGAATAATTTAATTATCTACCATTACAACGTAATTTATAAATTTAGTTTAAAAAATTTAGTATTCTTAATATTAATTTTTTTCTTCTTCTTGGTTTTGGTCAAGTGAACATTCCATTAATGTTTCATTAAAACAAAAGAAAAAAATAAAAAACACAAGGAAAACGAAACAAGGCCCGAAAACAGAGACTAGGCCCGAACGGAAACAAAAGCTCAAAGAAGAACAAATCCCTAGCAGCAGAGAAACTGTTGAAGTCGTCGTCCCCATCGCCGTACTGGTGAGCCAAACGGATGAACGGCCGCAGGGATCCGAACACAGCACCTCCAACAGATGCACGAGATAAACCAAAAGACAGCCCAACAAGTGCAGGACACGAATGCTCCATCATCCTGCACGAATCCAACATCGCCGCACTGATGAGCCAAACAGAATCATATTTTTGGGTACAATTTTTCCAGCCGATCGTTTGACTCCCAACTCCAAAATCTGACGCTCAATCGGCCATTTCAGCTTTTACGTTGCATTAGGCGAGTCGATAGCTGACCATCGGCTGTCGATATTCTCCCTGTTAATTGTCAATGGCCGCTTCTTCGTCTTCCTCATGGAAATACGACGTCTTCCTGAATTTCAGAGGCGAAGACACTCGCAAGATCTTCGTCGGCCATCTCTACAGTGCTCTGCGTCGGAAAGCAATCAACACCTTCATCGACGCCGAAGAGCTCAGAAAAGGCAACGACCTTTCGGAACTCCTTGCGGCTATCGAGTCGTCGAGGCTTTCGATCGTGGTTTTCTCCCCGGACTACGCTTCTTCGACGTGGTGCTTGAAAGAACTGGTCAAAATCCTGGCGTGCATGGATGCAAAGAAGCAGATAGTGGTGCCGATTTTCTACCAAGTTGATCCATCTGAAGTTCGTAAGCTCAAGAGAAGTTTTGCAGAAGCTTTACCTCAAAACGAAGGTGAATCGAGCGCCGAAATGAAAGAGGTGGAGAGCTGGAGGTCCGCGCTAACCAGAGCTGCCAATTTATCCGGCTGGGATTCGCGAAAATACGAGTAATTACTGTTCGATTATATTCTTAATTACTTTTGAATTGGGATTTTTAAAGCATCTAGTTTAATTCGGTGTCACTGTATAATGTATATTTTCTTAGCAAAATTGGCAATGCTGTTTTTCATATTACACAGGGATGATGCCAAGCTTATTGAGGAAATTGTGGATGACATATTTAAGAGATTGATCCAAGTCTCGTCAAGCAAAGATAATGGATTGATTGGAATGGATTCTCATATGCGTAAAATACATTTATTGTTATATCCTGATCCTCCTGGGTTGCATAAGGATGATGTTCGTATTGTCGGAATATGGGGTATGGGTGGTCTAGGCAAAACAACTGCCGCTAGTGCTGTTTATCATGAAATCGCTCGTGAATTTGAAGCTTGTTGCTTTCTTGAAAATGTCAAGGAGGGTTTCAAGAATAATGGCAAACTACATATGCAGACACAACTTCTAGCAAGTATCTCGAATAACAAGGTGGTGAGTTCGGACATTTCAAATAAGGGTTTCGAGGCGATGTTAAAGAGCCTAGGTCAGAGAAAAGTTCTTATTGTTGTTGATGATGTGGACAAATTAGACCAAATTGATGCTTTACTAGGAAAGCAACATTCCTTTGGTGGTGGAAGTAGAATCATTATGACAACAAGAGATTCGACATTACTAAGTGAAGCTGATGCAACCTACAAGCCTGAGATTTTCAGTGATTCTGAAGCTCTGGAGCTCTTTAGGAAGCACGCCTTCAGAACAATCCAACCCACCCGAAATTATGGTCAGCTCTCAAGGCGTGTCATACAATATGCTCAAGGTCTACCTTTAGCACTCAAAGTCTTGGGAGCTCATCTTCATAACAAAACTGTACGCCAGTGGGAAGATGTGTTAGAAAAAATAAGGAAAATCCCACAAAGGGGAATTCATGATGTGCTTAAAACAAGCTTTGATGGATTAGATGAAACAGAGAAGAAGATCTTTCTAGATATTGCATGTTTCTTTAAAGGAGTGAAAAAAGACTATGCAACTGCAATTCTGGACAGTTTTGGTTTCTATCCTCATGATGGAATAGGAGTTCTAATCGATCGAGCTCTCATATCTGTCTCAGAGTGGGGGAAACTGGAGATGCATGATTTACTAGAGGAAATGGGTCGGGAAATCGTTCGCCAAGAATTTATCGAAGAGCCTGGGAGAAGAAGTAGGTTGTGGAGTTATGAAGATGTTCGTCATGTGCTGACTCAAAATACAGTGAGATGTCTTTTTCTTATGCAATGTTTCGTAGAAAACTTCAGCTTTCGACCAAAATCTATTTTATAGCAAACATGCATTGTTTATAATATTCAGTAAGGTTCTTGGTGTTTTCCTTCACTTTAATTTACATTGTTGGTTTATCCAGGCAACAGAAGCAGTTGAAGGCATAATCCTGGATTCAGCAATCTTTAAAGAGGGATGCTCAAATACTGAAGCTTTTGTTAGTATGACAAAACTAAGACTGCTCATGATCCGTGATGGCGCTTATACTTACACCCAGTACTTTGATGAATATGGGTTTGTATCCAAGGTTTCATTTGACAGTCAAACTTCAAGTGAAGCAGAAGATGAGCTTGCATTCGGGGATTCATTTGACCATCAAGCTCCACATGATTGCTTCATAAAACGCTGGATTGCGGACTTAAAGTTCCAATGTTCTCAGTTGAGGTGTCTCATCTGGCGTGGTTGCCCCCTCAAGTCTTGGCCATCCAACTTTCAGTTCAAGAATCTTGTAAACCTTGACATGAGCAATAGTTGCATCGAACAACTTTGGAAAGGAGCTGAGGTACGATTTTTCATTTGCGTAAATACATTTATTTTCAATGTTTAGGTTCTGAGATGTGTTCTGCATGTTTTCTTGGACTTTTTAACAGCCTCTGGAAAAGTTGAAATTCATCAATTTAAGTCATTGTCAATACCTTAAGAAAACCCCCGACTTCACAAAGGCTACAAGTCTTGAGGAACTAAATCTAGAAGGTTGTACAAGTTTATCTGAGGTTGACCTATCCATTTCAGCTCTGAAAAACCTTGCTATATTGAATCTACGAGACTGTAAACAACTCAAGAGCCTGCCGAGCATCATTCATATGGGATCTCTTCAACCTCTTGATCTTTCTAGTTGCTCAAACCTTGAGATGTTTCCAGAGATTTCAGAAGTTATGAAGAAGCTGTCAAAGCTTTATTTAGATGGGACTGCAATTAAAGAGCTGCCTTCATCAATTAATAAACTCACGGGCCTTACAATTTTGGACCTAAGAGGCTGTCGAGAACTCAAAAGCCTTCCGAGCAGCATTCATATGGGATCCCTTCAAACCTTTAAGCTTTCTGGTTGCTCAAACCTTGAGAAATTTCCAGATAGTTCAGATGTTATGGAGAATCTATCAGAGTTATATTTAGATGGGACTGCCATTAAAGAACTGCCTTTGTCAATTAATAAACTCACGGGCCTTACTGTTTTGGACCTATCTGGGTTTCAAGAACTCAAGAGCCTGCCGAGCAGCATTCAGATGGGATCTCTTCAAACCCTTCGTCTTTCTGGTTGCACAAACTTTGAGAAGTTTCCAGATATTTCAGATGTTATGGAGAAGCTATCACAGCTTTATTTAGATGGGACTGCGATTAAGGAACTGCCTTCGTCAATTAATAAACTCACGGGCCTTACTGTTTTGGACCTACGAGGCTGTCGAGAACTCAAGAGCCTGCCGAGCAGCATTCATATGGGATCTCTTCGAACCCTTAATTTTTCTGGTTGCTCAAACCTTGAGAAGTTTCCAGAGATTTCAGAAGTTATGGAGGAGCTGTCAAAGCTTTATTTAGATTGGACTGCAATTAAAGAGCTGCCTTCATCAATTAATAAACTCACGGGCCTTACAATTTTGGGCCTAAGAGGCTGTCGAGAACTCAAAAGCCTGCCGAGCAGCATTCATATGGGATCCCTTCAAACCTTTAGGCTTTCTGGTTGCTCAAACCTTGAGAAATTTCCAGATATTTCAGATGTTATGGAGAAGCTATCAAAGCTTTATTTAGATGGGACTGCGATTAAAGAACTGCCTTCGTCAATTAATAAACTCACGGGCCTTACTGTTTTGGACCTATATGGGTGTCAAGAACTTAAGAGCCTGCCGAGCAGCATTCATATGGGATCTCTTCAAACCCTTCGTCTTTCTGGTTGCTCAAACCTTGAGAAGTTTCCGGATATTTCAGATGTTATGGGGAATCTATCAAGGTTACATTTAGATAGCACTGCCATTAAAGAACTGCCTTCGTCAATTAACAAACTCACGGGCCTTTCTGTTTTGGACCTATCTTGGTGTCAAGAACTCAAGAGCCTGCCAAGCAGCATTTATATGGGATCTCTTCAAACCCTTAATCTTTCTGGTTGCTCAAACCTTGAGGAGCTTCCAGAGATTTTAGATATTATTGAAAATCTATCAGGGTTATGTTTAGATGGGACTGCCATTAAAGAACTGCCTTCGTCAATTAATAAACTCATGGGCCATATTGTTTTGAACCTATCTGGGTGTCAAGAACTCAAGAGCCTAACAAGCATCATTCATATGGGATCTCTTCAAACCCTTTATCTTTGTGGTTGCTCAAACTTTGAGGAGTTTCCAGATATTTCAGATGTTATGGAGAAGCTATCAAACCTTTATTTAGGTGGGACTGCCATTAAAGAACTGCCTTCATCAATTAATAAACTCACGGGCCTTACTGTTTTGGACCTATCTGGGTGTCGAAAACTCAAGAGCCTGCCAAGCAGCATTCATATGGGATCTCTTCTAACCCTTAATCTTTCTGGTTGCTCAAACTTGGAGAAGTTTCCAGATATTTCAGATGTTATGGGGAAGCTATCACAGCTTTATTTAGATGGGACTGCGATTAAGGAACTGCCTTCGTCAATTAATAAACTCATGGGCCTTACGCATTTGGACCTATCTGGGTGTCAAGAACTCAATAGCCTGCCAAGCAGCATTCACATGGGATCTCTTCGAACCCTTGATCTTTCTGGTTGCTCAAACCTTGAGAAGTTTCCAGAGATTTCAGATTCTATGGAGAATCTATCAGAGTTATATTTAGATGGGACTGCCATTAAAGAACTGCCTTCATCAATTAATAAACTCACGGGCCTTACTGTTTTGGACCTATTTGGGTGTCAAGAACTCAAGAGCCTGCCGAGCAGCATTCATATGGGATCTCTTCAAACCCTTAATCTTTCTGGTTGCTCAAACCTTGAGAAGTTTCCAGAGATTTCAGATGCTATGGAGAATCTATCAGAGTTATACTTAGATGGGACTGCAATTAAGGAACTGCCGTTGTCAATTAGTAAACTCACGGGCCTTACTGTTTTGGAAATCTTCCAGCGCTTGTTACGTTGAACGTAAGAGATTGCAGAAAACTCAAGTCTCCCAAGCAGCATTTGTGATCTCAAGTCCCTTCACTATCTTAGTCTTTCTGGTTGCCCAAAGTTTGAGGTGTTGGAATTATTGGGTATTGCTCATTTATCATTATTGAATATATTAGAACTCTGCAGAAACAATTTTGAGAGCTTGCCTGCAGAAATGAATTGGCTTCATTGGTTAACAAGTCTCAAATTGGAAGGTTGCAAGGGACTGAAATCAATACCAGAGATTTCATCTACTATAAGGTTCATAGATGCCCATGATTGCACAGCTTTGGAAACTGTTTCAAGATCAAGCAAGTTTTTTTTCCCAAGAATCTTTACTTGACATTTTCAAACTGCTTCCAGCTGGTGCAAAATCTATTTGAAGATATTGTGGAAGCTCATCAGGTCTCTCTCTCTCTCTCTCTCTCTCTCTCTCTCTCTCTACGTGCGAAAGTACGAAACATATCTAATGCAAGTCCAGTTTACCTTTGTTTTCATTCTGCAGGGTAATCTGCAACCTCTTTCCTTGTTTATGTATCTTTCTGGAAGTAAACTTTCAGATTGGTTCAGCCATCAGTGTAGCAGATCTTCTGTAACTGTGCATCTACCACCAGTCTCGGATCGTAAGATTTTAGGATTCGCTTTGTGCGGTGTTACTAAGTTCAAGTTGCACATTATACATCTGATCTATCTGCTCTGTGTTTTTGTACCTTCAAAGGAGAGCATGGCGAGCATGGTTTCTGCTTTGATTTGCTTGATTTGAGCATCACAAGGGGCAGGTTACTTGAGTCAGATTATGTGATTCTGGGGCACCAGTTCAGCAGCATCGCATCAGAAGGAGTGGAGTTCGTCTCTTTTATGCCAATTGTGAGGAGGTGCATAATCTCTTTTATGCCAATTGTGAGAGGAAGCTAATTGGAAGCCGTGTGGTCCCTTTTATCCCAAATTTGAGGTGGTGCGTTATTGAAGCATGATACAGCCGGAACAATTCCACTTTCAAGAACAACACTATCATCATGAGAATTCTGAAGCCGAACTTCGTGCTTTTGGCAAATCACTGGTAAGAGTTGCTCATTCTGAGAGGAACCGTGAGGGTTGTTGCTATAACGAGGGTGAACAAAATGGAAGTGATACCTCTGACGCTGAGGATTTGTATTCTAAAAGATTGGTACTGCCTGATGGGGCAAAGGAAAACTGAAGAGAACAATTCTGTGTTGGGTTTGATGGCTCAGTCCTGTTGGGTCTCGACCCTTTCAACGCGGACGTAAACCCAAACTGTTGTGGCTCTTTAGTTGGCATATGCGGATCACATGCTAGGTCTTTTTAGTGCTCGTATATAAAGCCTGGCATTGTGCAATTTGGATGAGACGTTTAAGGTTCTGTAAGAGTGAAACCAATTAGAGAGACAAACATTTTGTTTTTGATTCGTTTTTTCCCTCTTCTATTTGTGAGTGTATCTGGGTGTATTTTGGGTTTGAGTTTGAGAGCACTCTTTGTAATCTCCTTTTCCTTATGTTTATTAGTGGAACTTCCTCGCTGCCCCCCGAACTGGATGTAGGCTTACGCCGAACCAGTATAAATCTTTGTGTCATTTTTAATTGTTTGTTTTGTCATATTTTTCCGTATTAGTTTATTGGTTTCAAATTAGCATTTCCGCACAACACACTGAACCCAGTGAAGGTGGAAAGGAGCTTCTTGTATTTGGAAGTGCCAATTCAGATAATGCAAGTCATCCAATGACATTGATAGAGGTTGAGATGAGCTTCTTGTAATGTTACTTGAAAATTAGAACAAGAGAAATGGCTCGATGTGCTGAAATTGAAAAATTCAGTTGCAACACATTTATGTTCCTCATGAAGACAAGATTAATTAGAAGAATTAAGTTTTTAATTGCCCAATTCTGTTCCATATGAATTTAGAAATTAGAATCTCACTTTTTAGAGCTGTAATAACTTTGCAGCCACAAGACATAAATGCCAAGTACCCTTAATTACTCTTCCGGACGTTTCAGGTTCATGTTGACAACTTGACATAAACGATAGATTTTTCAGTGTGCTTGACATACGGCTCGGCACACCAAGTGTAATAATATAATTGGTTGAAAGCTTGAATACAAAGTTTACATGAAAGAAAAAGGTTAAACTATCATTTCACATTCAACTTAAATAATTACACATGAGTTATTTTGTTACGCAATTGTGTAAGCGTGCTAAAATGTATGTCACTTTCGAATTAGGTGGGTTGGATGGGAACACAAACTCTTATTAACCATGTTAAATGGGTCAGCACGATTATGCCCAACTCAAACAAATTTATTTTTTGTCTTTTTCAAGTCGGATTATCGAATCTATCCAAAATTGTTGCCTCTACTCTTTCTTGGCACACCCAAATTCAAGCAAAAACAATGAAAGGTACATCCGAACAAAAATACAATAAAAGGTACATCATACAACAACTTTCATATTTTTAATAGAAAATGCGCATTATCCTCGTCATACAAATGAAAGATTTCAGAGTTGTACCATTAATAATGTGATAGTAGTTTAGAAGCCAAACGATGCTATTAGACATGACACATATGTGCGAAGCTAACACTTAACTCGAGGATATTTTCAATCACTCTAACTCATTTTTCATGTGAATAGCGAGATCGGAATATATTTCTAATTTACAAAGAAGTTGTTGGGTATGCAGGTGAAGATTCAACATAATTGAACGATATAGCTTAGTGTAGAATATCCTTTTTTTTTTTTTTTTTGTTTGGTTACACTAGGTGCATTTGCCTTTTTATTTTAATAAAATTTCATCTCACACAGTCGGGGTTTCTTTAACAAAGTCAAAAAGGAAAACTGTAGATAGTATAGAATATCATTTTTACTAAAAAAAACATGTTAATACAAATTAAACTCATGGGATTTGCATATGTCGCTTTATTATAGTGACGAAAAATAATAATGCGTATACATTTTGATACGAATTCGATCCTTACGGATTTGTTTTGCATTCGATTCTTACAGATTATCCTCTTCTCTAATAACTAATTACCTAAACCACCAACTTTGCTCTACTGTAAAAATTAATAATAAATAAAAAGAAGGGTCATTTAAGATTTGCTGAGTTCGAAAACCAAATTAGTGTACTTTACGTAATGATTTAATTGGCATTGGCTCATTGACTTCGTGTCGGTCGGACCATTTTCCGGTGATCCAATTTGTATTTCAGTTGAGTTAGCAGCTCGATCATAAGCACTTTGTATAGTTGTTGTAACTTTGCAGCCACCAGCCATAAATACCAAGTACCCTTAATTACTCTTCCAGATGTCTCAAGTTCGTGTTGACATGAACACAGCACAAAGACAACACGATTAATTACTCATACGAATACAAAATTTACATAAAAAAAAGTGGTTAAAATTGTCATTTCACATTCAACTTAACTAGATCGCACACGAGTTACCGAGTAACGCGATTATGTAAGCGCGCTAAAGAGTACGTCACTTTCGGATTAGGTGGGTTAGATCAAAACACAAACTCTTATTAACCATGTTAAATGGGTTGACACGATTATTCCCAAACTCAAACAAATTTGTTTTGTTTGAAATGTCTCTATGAATCTTCAAGTCAATGAAAAAATAGATTTTTGTGTCTTCCCCACCAGCGAGTCCCTTTTAAAAAACAACAAATTTGTTTTGTCCTTTTCATACTCCTTCGCATTTTCTAGCTAAATCCGAATAAATAGAATGAAAGGTACCTGATCGAACAATAACTTTCATATTTTTAAGGGATGTTTTGAAATAGGTGCTTGATATTTTTCATAATCAAGATGTTCCACTCATATGTTACATAAAATAATATTATTTTTGCACATATTATACCCAAAAAATTAGAAGGTCCAATTTATTTATTTATTTTTTGTTAAGGTCATCTCCAACCGAAATGGCTATGTTTAGTTCCCGTCCAGATTATAGCATTGCAATAAATTATTCTTTAACAAACAGTGTCAGACCATAATTATATACCATCTCCAACCGAAGAGGGTTATTTTTTAGCCCCATCAATAATTTACCATTCTAAGTTTGTTCTTTAATTTTATTAATTAATTAAATTAAATTACCATATTAGAATAAAGTTTCTGAACATATTTTGAGTACAACTTAAAACTGTGACAATTAAGAAGAAAAAAAACTTACGTATCATAGACGTCAATGATGCGATAAACCCAAAATCCTCAAATTAGGAAATCAACAAATAGCATTTTAATTTCAATATTTTGAATAAATTGAAAATGCTGAGGTGGCATCAGTTGGAGCAGCTTAATCAAATATTTAAAGGGAAATAATTAATGTTCAATCTAAAAAGTGATCAAGAGGAGCGGTGGATTTTAATTATTCATGTTTTTATTAGAAAAAACGTGCATTAACCTCGTCATTGATTCATTGACTCTCGTAGCCTCGTCATGGTAGGGGATGAGGATCATCTTCAATTTTTTTTTTGTAGGGATTTTTGAGATTTTTATTTTTCAATTGTTAATTATATATTGTACGGTCATGTTAGATATTATTTATGTTTAATTTTAAATAAAAAAATTTATGATCGTACGATATACGATGAACGATTAAGATACGAAAATCTCTATAATTCTCGTAATTTGGATCTGTATGGGAGCCAAATCCTGTAGGACCTCATGATGACCCACTGCTTTTCCTTTATTCTTATAGTGACTCAGCACTAGAGTTTCAAAGTCGTTTGTTTGACTTAGCTTTTGGGAGAAGATAAAGACTCTTTTTATTTAAAAATGATTTTATTTGCTAAGAAAAGGGGATGAATTATTAATAATATGATTTAAATTTATTTTTTATGTAAATCATACTTAAAATTTTCTAATTAAAAATAAAAAATAATATTACTAAATCGTAGTATGTATTTTTTTTTTTGTTTATGAAATGAATTAAACCTTTGGCTTGTTCTGTCTTTTTCTTTTTTTAACCTTATCTCTTTCTCGGTGCGGCTGGTAGCTTTTTCTTTTTCTCTGTCTATTTTTTTTTATTTTTTATGAGTGCGGCTGGTGGCTAACCCAACTCCAAAAGCTGACGCTCAATCGGACATTTCAGCTTTTACGTAGCATTAGGCGAGTCGATAGCTGACCATCGGCTGTCGATATTCTTCCTGTTAATTGTGAATGGCCGCTTCTTCGTCTTCCTCATGGAAATACGACGTCTTCCTGAATTTCAGAGGCGAAGACACTCGCAAGATCTTCGTCGGTCATCTCTACAGTGCTCTGCGTCGGAAAGCAATCAACACCTTCATCGACGCCGAAGAGCTCAGAAAAGGCAACGACCTTTCGGAACTCCTTGCGGCTATCGAGTCGTCGAGGCTTTCGATCGTGGTTTTCTCCCAGGACTACGCTTCTTCGACGTGGTGCTTGAAAGAACTGGTCAAAATCCTGGAGTGCATGGATGCAAAGAAGCAGATAGTGGTGCCGATTTTCTACCAAGTTGATCCATCTGAAGTTCGTAAGCTCAAGAGAAGTTTTGCAGAAGCTTTTCCTCAAAACGAAGGTGAATCGAGCGCCGAAATGAAAGAGGTGGAAAGCTGGAGGTCCGCGCTAACCAGAGCTGCCAATTTATCCGGCTGGGATTCGCGAAAATACGAGTAATTACTGTTCGATTATATTCTTAATTACTTTTGAATTGGGATTTTTAAAGCATCTAGTTTAATTCGGTGTCACTGTATAATGTATATTTTCTTTACAAAATTGGCAATGCTGTTTTTCTTATTACATAGGGATGATGCCAAGCTTATTGAGGAAATTGTGGATGATATATTTGAGAGATTGATCGAAATCTCGTCAAGCAAAGATAATGGATTGATTGGAATGGATTCTCATATGCGTAAAATGCATTTATTGTTATATCCTGATCCTCCTGGGTTGCATAAGGATGGTGCTCGTATTGTCGGAATATGGGGTATGGGTGGTCTAGGCAAAACAACTATCGCTAGAGCTATTTATGATGAAATCGCTTGTCAATTTGAAGCTTGTTGCTTTCTTGACAATGTCAAGGAGGGTTTCAAGAATCATGGCGAACTACATATGCAGACACAACTTCTATCAACTATCTCGAATAACAAGGTGGTGAGTTCGGACATTTTGAGTAAAGGTTTCAAGGTGATGTTGAAGAGCCTAGGTCAGAGAAAAGTTCTATTTGTTGTTGATGATGTGAACAAATTAGACCAAATTGAAGCTTTACTAGGAAAGCAACATTCCTATGGTGGTGGTAGTAGAATCATTATAACAACGAGAGATTTGCAATTACTAAGTGGAGCTAATGCGATCTATAAGCCTGAGATTTTCAGTGATTCCGAAGCTCTGGAGCTCTTTAGGAAGCACGCCTTCAGAACAAACCAACCCACCTTAAATTATGATCAGCTGATTCAGCTCTCAAGGCGTGTCTTACACTACGCTCAAGGTCTGCCTTTAGCACTCAAAGTCTTGGGAGCTTTTCTTCATAACAAAACTGTACGCCAGTGGGAAGATGTGTTAGAAAAAATAAGGAAAATCCCACAAAGGGGAATTAATGATGTGCTTAAAACAAGCTTCGATGGACTCGACGAAACAGAGAAGGACATCCTTCTAGATATTGCATGTTTCCTTAAAGGAATGAAAAAAGACCATGCAACTGCAATTCTGGACAGCTGTGGTTTCTATCCTCATACTGGAATAGGAGTTCTAATCGACCAAGCTCTCATATCTGTCTCGGAGGAGGGGCAACTGGAGATGCATGATTTACTAGAGGAAATGTGTCGGGAAATCGTTCGCCAAGAATCTATCAAAGAGCCTGGGAGAAGAAGTAGGTTGTGGAGTTATGAAGATGTTCATCATGTGCTGACTCAAAATACAGTGAGATATCTTTTTCTTGTGCAATGTTTCGTAGAAAGCTTCAGCTTTCGGCCAAAATCTATTTTATAGCAAACATGCATTGTTTATAATATTCAATAAGGTTCTTGGTGTTTTCCTTCACTTTAATTTACTTTGTGGGTTTATCCAGGCTACATTTTTTATAATATTCAATAAGGTTCTTGGTGTTTTCCTTCACTTTAATTTACATTGTTGGTTTATCCAGGCTACAGAAGCAGTTGAAGGCATAATCCTGGATTCAGCAATCTTTAAAGAGGGATGCTCAAATACCGAAGCTTTTGTTAGTATGAAAAAACTAAGACTGCTCATGATCCATGATGGCGCTTATACTTACACCAAGGACTTTGACAAATATGGGTTTGTATCCAAGGATTCATTTGACAGTCACACTTCAAGTGAAGCAGAAGATGAGTTTACATTGGGGGATTCATTTGACCATCGAGCTCCACATGATTGCTTCATAAAACGCTGGATTGCAGACTTAAAGTTCCAATGTTCTCAGTTGAGGTGTCTCCTCTGGCGTGGTTGCCCCCTCAAGTCTTGGCCATCCAACTTTCAGTTCAAGAATCTTGTAAACCTTGACATGAGCAATAGTTGCATCGAACAACTTTGGAAAGGAGCCGAGGTATGATTTTTCATTTACATAAATATATTTATTTTCAGTGTTTAGGTTCTGAGATGTGTTGTGCATGTTTTCTTGGACTTTTTAACAGCCTCTGGAAAATTTGAAATTCATCGACTTAAGTAATTGTATATACCTTAAGAAAACCCCCGACTTCACAAAGGCTACAAGTCTTGAGGAACTAAATCTCAAAGGTTGTACAAGGTTATATGAGGTTGACCCATCCATTTCAGCTCTGAAAAACCTTGTTATATTGAATCTAGGAGTCTGTCACAAACTCAAGAGCCTGCCGAGCATCAGTCATATGGGATCTCTTCAAACCCTTAATCTTTCTTGTTGCTCAAACTTTGAGAAGTTTCCAGAGATTTCAGATGCTATGGAGAATCTAGCAGAGTTATATTTAGATGGGACTGCCATTAAAGAACTGCCTTCGTCATTTAATAAACTCACGGGCCTTACTGTTTTGAACCTATCTTGGTGTCGAGAACTCAAGAGCCTGCCGAGCAGCATTCATTTGGGATCTCTTCAAACCCTTAATCTTTCTGGTTGCTTAAACCTTGAAAAGTTTCCAGAGATTTCAGATGTTATGGAGAAGCTATCAGAGCTTCGTTTAGATGGGATTGCAACTAAAGAACTGTCTTCGTCAATTAATAAACTCACAGGCCTTACTATTTTGAACCTAAGAGGCTGTCAAGAACTCAAGAGCCTGCCGAGCAGCATTCATTTGGGATCTCTTCAAACCCTTAATCTTTCTGGTTGCTTAAACCTTGAAAAGTTTCCAGAGATTTCAGATGCTATGGAGAATCTAGCAGAGTTATATTTAGATGGGACTGCCATTAAAGAACTGTCTTCGTCAATTAATAAACTCACAGGCCTTACTATTTTGAACCTAAGAGGCTGTCGAGAACTCAAGAGCCTGCCGAGCAGCATTCATTTGGGATCTCTTCAAACCCTTAATCTTTCTGGTTGCTCAAACCTTGAAAAGTTTCCAGATGTTTCAGATGTTATGGAGAAGCTATCAAAGTTTTATTTAGGTGGGACTGCGATTAAAGAACTGCCTTCGTCGATTAATAAACTCACGGGCCTTACTGTTTTGAACCTATCTGGGTGTCGAGAACTCAAGAGCCTGCCGAGCAGCATTCATATGGGATCTCTTCAAACTCTTGATCTTTCTGGTTGCTCAAACCTTGAAAAGTTTCCAGATGTTTCAGATGTTATGGAGAAGCTATCAAAGTTTTATTTAGGTGGGACTGCGATTAAAGAACTGCCTTCGTCGATTAATAAACTCACGGGCCTTACTGTTTGAACCTATCTGGGTGTCGAGAACTCAAGAGCCTGCCGAGCAGCATTCATATGGGATCTCTTCAAACTCTTGATCTTTCTGGTTGCTCAAACCTTGAGAAGTTTCCAGATATTTCAGATGTTATGGAGAAGCTATCAGAGCTTTATTTAGATGGGACTGCCATTAAAGAACTGCCTTCGTCGATTAATAAATTCACGGGCCTTACTGTTTTGAACTTATCTGGGTGTCGAGAACTCAAGAGCCTGCCGAGCAACATTCATATGGGATCTCTTCGAACTCTTGATCTTTCTGGTTGCTCAAACCTTGAGAAGTTTCCAGATATTTCAGATGTTATGGAGAAGCTATTAGAGCTTTATTTAGATGGGACTGCCATTAAAGAACTGCCTTCGTCGATTAATAAATTCACGGGCCTTACTGTTTTGAACTTATCTGGGTGTCGAGAACTCAAGAGCCTGCCGAGCAGCATTCATATGGGATCTCTTCAAACTCTTGATCTTTCTGGTTGCTCAAACCTTGAGAAGTTTCCAGATATTTCAGATGTTATGGAGAAGCTATTAGAGCTTTATTTAGATGGGACTGCCATTAAAGAACTGCCTTCGTCAATTAATAAACTCACGGGCCTTACTGTTTTGACCCTATCTGGGTGTCGAAAACTCAAGAGCTTGCCGAGCAATATTCATATGGGATCTCTTCGAAACCTTCATCTTTCTGGTTGCTCAAACTTTGAGAAGTTTCCAGATATTTCAGATGTTATGGGGAATCTATTAGTGTTATATTTACATAGCACTGCCATTAAAGAACTGCCTTCGTCAATTAATAAATTCACGGGCCTTGCTTTTTTGGACCTATCTGGGTCTCAAGAACTTAAGAGCCTGCCAAGTAGCATTCATGTGGGATCCCTTTGAACCCTTAAGCTTTCTGGTTGTTCAAATCTTGAAAAATTTCCAGATATTTCGGATGCTATGGAGAAGCTATCAGAGCTTTATTTAGATGGGACTGCGATTAAAGAACTGCCTTTGTCGATTAATAAACTCACGGGCCTTACTGTTTTGGAACTATCTGGGTGTCAAGAACTCAAGAGCCTGCCGAGCAGCATTCATTTGAGATCTCTTCAAACCTTTAATCTTTCTGGTTGCTCAAACTTTAAGAAGTTTCCAGAGATTTCAGATGCTATGGAGAATCTATCAGAGTTATATTTAGATGGGACTGCCATTAAAGAACTGCCTTCGTCAATTAATAAACTCACGGGCCTTACTGTTTTGAACCTATCTTGGTGTCAAGAATTCAAGAGCCTGTCTAGCAGCATTCATATGGGATCTCTTCAAACCCTTAATCTTTCTGGTTGCTCAAACCTTGAGAAGTTTCCAGAGATTTCAGATGCTATGCAGAATCTATCAAAGTTATATTTAGATGGGACTGCGATTAAAGAACTGCCTTCGTCAATTAATAAACTCACGGGCCTTACTTTTTTGGACCTATCTGGGTGTCAAGAACTTAAGAGCCTGCCAAGTAGCATTCATGTGGGATCCCTTCAAACCCTTAAGCTTTCTGGTTGTTCAAATCTTGAAAAGTTTCCAGATATTTCATATGCTATGGAGAATCTATCAGAGCTTTATTTAGATGGGACTGCGATTAAAGAACTGCCTTTGTCGATTAATAAACTCACGGGCCTTACTGTTTTGGAACTATCTGGGTGTCAAGAACTCAAGAGCCTGCCGAGCAGCATTCATATGGGATCCCTTCAAACCCTTAAGCTTTCTGGTTGCTCAAACCTTGAGAAGTTTCCAGACATTTCAAATGTTTTGGAGAAGTTATCAGAGCTTTATTTAGATGGGACTGCGATTAAAGAACTGCCTTCATCAATGAATAAACTCATGGGCCTTACTTTTTTGGACCTAACTGGGTGTCAAGAACTTAAGAGCCTGCCGAGCAGCATTCGTATGGGATCTCTTCAAACCCTTAGTCTTTATGGTTGCTCAAACTTTGAGAAGTTTCCAGATATTCCAGATGTTATGGAGAAGCTATCAAAGCTTTATTTAGGTGGGACTGCGATTAAAGAACTACCTTCGTCAATTAATAAACTCACGGGCCTTACTGTTTTGGATCTATATGGGTGTCGAGAACTCAAGAGCCTGCCGAGCAGCATTCGTATGGGATCTCTTCAAACCCTTTATCTTTCTGGTTGCTCAAGCCTCGAGAAGTTTCCAGATATTTCAGATGTTATGGAGAAGCTATCAGAGCTTTATTTAGATAGGACTGCGATTAAAGAACTGCCTTTGTCAATTAATAAGCTCACGGGCCTTACTGTTTTGGACCTATCTGGGTGTCAAGAACTCAAGAGCCTGCCGAGCAGCATTCATATGGGATCTCTTCAAACCCTTAATCTTTCAGGCTGCTCAAAACTTGAGAAGTTTCCAGATATTTCAGATGATATGGAGAATCTATCAGAGTTATATTTAGATGGGACTGCAATTAAAGAACTGCCTTCTTCAATTAGAAATCTTCCAGGGCTTGTTACTTGAACCTAAGAGATTGCAAAAAACTCAATAGTCTTCCAAGCAGCATTTGTGATCTCAAGTTCCTTCAGTATGTTAGTCTTTTTCGTTGCCCAAGGTTTGAGGTGTTGGAATCGTCGGATAATGCTCATTAATCATCAGTGGAAGCATTAGACCTGTGCAGAAACAATTTTGAGAGCTTGCCTGCAGAAATAAATCGGCTTCATTGTTTAACATCTCTCAAATTGGAAGGTTGCAAGAGACTGCATTCAATACCAGAGCTTTCATCAACTATAAGGTTCATAGATGCCCATGATTGCACAGCTTTGGAATTTGTTTCAAGACCAAGCAAGTTTTTTCACAAGAATATTTACTGGACATTTTCAAACTGCTTCCAGCTGGTGCAAAATCTATTTGAAGATATTGTGGAAGCTCACCAGGTCTCTCTCTCTCTCTCTCTCTCTCTCTCTCTCTCTCTATACACGTGCAAAAGTACGAAACATATCTAATGCAAGTCCAATTTACCTTCGTTTTCATTCTGCAGGGTAATCTGCAACCTCTTTCCTTGATTATGTATCTTCCTGGAAGTAAGCTTTCAGATTGGTTCAGTCATCAGTGCAGTGGATCTTCAGTAACTGTGCATCCACCACCAGTCTCGGATCTTAAGATTTTGGGATTCGCTGTGTGCGGTGTTACTAAGTTCAAGTATGCACGTTATACATCTGGTCTATCTGCTCTGTGTTTTTGTACCTTCGAAGGAGAGCACGGCAAGCACAGTTTAAGATTTGATACGGTTGATTTGAGCATCCAAAGGGGCAGGTTACTTGAGTCAGATCACATGTTCATGGGATATCTTCCATGGAAAAAAGAAGTGCAGCCAAGTGAGCGCTATACCACGAAGGTGACATTTAGAGTTGAACTAAGAGATGGAGACAAATCATGGTATCCTGGGGTCAGTTCTGCAGCTTGGCATCATAAGGTGTGGAGTTCGTCTCTTTTATGCCAATTGTTAGGGGGAGCAATCTGGTAAGCCGCTTTCTGACTATTCTCAATCCTTACATATTTCCTTCTTGTCTAATGACTAAGTACCTAAACCACCAACGTTGCTCTACTGTAAACATTAATAATAAATAAGAGGGGTCGTTTCCTTAAATTTCCTGGAAGAAGATGTGAAAACACAAAAAGCATAATTTTCTTTTTCCTTATTACGTAACGATCTGATTTGCATTGGGTCATTGACTTCGTATCGGTCAGACCATTTTCCGGTGATCCAATTTGTAGTTCAGTTGAGTTAGCAGGTCGATCATAAGCACTTTGTAGAGTTGTAGTAACTTTGCAGCCACCAGACATAAATACCAAGTACCTTTAATTAGTCTTCCAAATGTCTCAGGTTTGTGTTGACATGAACACAGCACAAAGGGGACACGATTAATTACTCATACGAATAAAAAATTTACATAGAAAGATAGACTTCTGTGCCTTCCCCACTAGCTAGTCCTTTTATAAAAATACAAATTTGTTTTTTCCTTGTCACCCATACTCCTTTTTCGCACTTTCTAGCTAAATTCAAAAGGTGCCTGATCGAATCACTTTCATATTTTTAGGGGGCATTTTGAAATAGGTGCTTGATTTTTAAATTTTATAGACATACTAGTCATTCGGTTTGTACAACTTCTTCAGATGCAATAAAAGCTTATATGTTATCTGTTGTCAAACTTAGTTCGTCATTTTATATTGGCACATTTTGAAAACGGAAGCATGAAGCATACTATTATTTTGGTACATTATGTAATGTATATTTGGGACGTTCCACTCATTTGGTACGTAAAATAATATTATTCTTGCACATATTACACCAAAAAAATTACCAGGTACAATTACCTTTTTTGGGTTAAAAGAAAAATGAAAAAGCTTTAAGGCCCTTGTGCCTCAGGTATCATAGACGTCAATGATGCGATAAACCCAAAATCCTTAAATTAGGAAATTAATAAATAGCATTTTAATTTCAATATTTTGAATAAATTGAAAATGCTGACGTGGCATTTGTTGGAGCGGCTTAATCAAAGTTTGAAAATCTTTAATCAAATATTATAAAGGAAAGAAATAATGTTCAATATAAAAAGTGATCAAGAGGGCGGTGGTTTGTTATTATTGTACTTCGAAAAAAAAATTGTTTTTACAAGTAGCTGTGAAATAAAACAGTAGAGTGTTTGGTAAATTTTTTTATAAAAATACTTTTGAAAAAAAAAAAAAAAGCAGTATTATAATGTCTGGTAAACTTTTATGTTGAATAGCTGTGACCGTGTGAAATGATTGAAAATAGTATAATATTAGATGTGCCATTAATTTAATTTTTTTTAACAAATAAAGGTGAATCATTAATTATATTTTATTTTTAAAAGAAAAATATTTATGAACTTTATCTTATATATTAATAGTATAACAAACTACATAAATTAAAGTATTTTAGACCGAATATCTAGGATTTATTAGTACAATATTATTAATGTACTTGAAAGTAGTCTAATTAAATGCATTTATCAAACTAACCGTTATTCTATTTCTTAATGGTTCTATCTTACTTGATTCTTCAACTTTAATGTCCTGCTCTTTTAATTTTGTTCCGGCAGAAAATTCGGTTTTATTTCTCACTCTCTGTTTGATTGGATTTAGCAGATAGAAATGCAAGAGCAGGCGACGAGCTCCCTCGCTGCGAGCTTTCTGCCTTCCAACAGCGAAAGGTCTTCGAGATCTGCATTCCATCTTGAAGTTAAAGAAGGTTTGACTTTGATACTCGTTTTGTAGTTTTTTCAAGTTTATTGTCCAGAAAGCATTGTTTGTTTAAATTTGTGTACTTGTTTTTTAATCAGAAGAATTTTGAGATTTCCCACCTGGGTCTTGTAAAACCCAGGATTTTCTCAGCTGGGTTGTTATTTCCTGGGAAAATGCTCTTTTCGGATGAAAAGTCTTCTATTTTTACATTGTCTCAGATAAAAAGGGGAAAGCTTTGTTCAATAAGTATAGCTTATGTTGTTTGTGGTTGACTGTTTATCTTTGCAAATCGGAAGAACTTCGAATTTTTCCATCTGGGTTTTGTAGAATCGACAATTTTCTGGGTCGTTGTTTGTTTCTCTGGATTTTTTTTTTTTTTTTTTTTTTTTTGAAGAGATGGCTTCACACCTGAAGGATTTTTCTGAAACAGAGAAGGGAAGTGAGAGTGAGGGAGAAGTCTCGGAATTTGGAAGTATTCGAGTGGGTTCTGGGAAAAATGGGGAAGACATCGTGAGGGTAGGATTGAAAAATTGAAAAGTTTATTAACTTGTTACTGTTCATCTGTGTTTGTTGTAATAAGCTGATTTTTGAAAACTGCATTTTCCAGCTTTGGAATTTTAACTTTTTTTCGCTCATAACTTTGAAAAGAATCTGATTTTAAATGTTTACCAAACATCTAAAATGTTCCAACTTTTTATCATACTTTTTAAAAAAGTTAAGCTAAGCCAAACTGGGGCTTAAGCCTCATCAAGGTAGGAGATGGGATCCTCTTTATTAGATTCTAGGATTTTTACATCTTAACCGTTTATCTTACATTGTGCGGTTAATTTTTGTTAAATACTATTTGTGTTTAATTTAAAAAAAATAAATAAATAATTTATAATCGTACGATATATAATAAATGATTAAAATTTGAGAATTCTTAATATCCTCACAATTTAAATTCGGATGTGATTTGAAACCCATGTTAGGACCTTACCATGATCCACGGCTTTTCCTTTATGCTCTCGTAATTGCATTGCCTGTCTTCTAGTAACTCAGCACTTAAGGTTGCACAGCCGTTGCTTCTAGTGACTCGGCACTTAGGGTTACACAGCCGTTGCTTCTAGTGACTCAGTGACTCAGCACTTAGGGTTACACAGCCGTTTGTCTTACTTAGCTTTTGGGAGAATATAAAGCTCCCTTCAAATTTTTTTTTTTTTTTTAACATATGATATATTTACATTAAAGGCTATAGAGTTAGAACAAGAATTGTCTGCCTTTCTATTTCCGGTGCTTTTCCGTACCTTCCTATTTATGTGGTCACGGTTAAATCACGTCAACATTTTATATTACTATTCATTTTTGTCTTATTATCTATATATATAAAAAAAATAATATAAAATGTTGATATGACTTAACTGTGATCACATAAAACAGGAAGGCACGGGAGGACACCGGAAGTGGGAGGGCAGACAATCCTTGTCCATCGAGTTAGGCTTAGCCTTATAAAAAATATTGTTCAAATGTACCCTTTGACGAGACTTGAACTTAAGATATCTCATTTATTAATAAAAAAGAATACCACTAGCACTAGATAGTAATACAATATGACAAAAAAATATTATTTATACTATAAAAAGAAAATAGGCTAGTAATAATGTGGTTGAAATTCACGAGAATCAAAGCTAAAACTTCTCAATTACAAGTGAAGATGAATATTATTATACTGTAGTATGTATTATTTTCTTTATGTTTATGAAATGAATTATACCTTTAACTTTTTCTCTGTCTTTTTCATTTTTGGAGGTAGATTCTCTTCCCTCTCACTTTCCGTGCCCTTCTGTTTTATGTGGTCACGGTTAAACCACGTCAACATTTTATATTGTGTTTTTTATAAAGATAGTAAGACAAAAAGGAATAATAATATAAAATGTTAACGTGAAATAAACGTAATTACACAAACAGGAGAGCATGGAAAGTAGGAGAGCAGAGAATTTGCCTCCCTCATTTTTAACCTTATCTCTCTTTTTCGATGCGGCTGGTAGCTTTTTCTTTTTCTCTGTCTTTTTTTTTTTTGGATTTTTTAACGAAAAACCCACGATACTGTTCACTTTAACGAAAAATTACATTTTTACACTAAAAAGTCAATTATGGTACTATTTACTTTATCTTTTATTTTGTCCTTATCATTAAAACTCAAAGTTTTAAACTTTTTACATTAGGTTTTTTTTTTTGGGTGCGGATGGTACCTAACACAACTCCAAAAGTTGACGCTCAATCCGGCATTTCAGCTTTTACATTGCATATTCAAAAAATCAAAGTCTATCCTATCGTGCATATTTGAAAAATCTCAATTCGACCTCCTTGCCTTTGCTAAACGTACCTGTTGATTCTAAAAATTACAAAACCTACATAGCACGCAGGCCAAATAACTAATAAGCTAACTACGTCATACGGTTGAATGTGGGGCATGCCAACTCGTCGGTCAAGCTCAACCGAGGAGTAAAATTCGTTGATGTCGCGTTGAGCGCGTTACTGACTTCTTTATCTTGCGACTGCGACCGAGGAAGGAACACTCTCGGTCTTTGGGTTCTAGAGCCTGAAGACAAGACTGCTGGTTTTGCGAAGTTCACAAATCGTCGATGCCCAATTCGGTCACCGTGATTATATTCGTAAGAGTATAAGCATGTCGAATCAACACCAGATTATACGGACACAGATATTCAAATGTGATGTACGTCTTGATGGTGAACGTGGTTCGGCCGTCAGAATGCCGGACTCTAAAACTCACTTGTAAATATCTAATCATAAAATCACTCGGCGTCCGGTACGCCGAATGTCGTAACTCGTAACACCTTACTTTACCGAGAGCGCTAATAAGATGACCCTTGCCAATAAGGATTCGAAAACCTTTTTCGGCCGAGACTTGGATAGGTAACTAATCGGCCTCGGCGCAGTGCTGTTTATCCAAACTGAAGGTGCTCCTCGGTCGGTTGATTCTACAGCAACAGTGCTGTTTATCCAAACTAAATATGTTCGCCGGTTGCCTCTACAGTGCTGTTTATCCAAACTGAAGGTGTGTCGGCGGAAAAAGAAAAGGAAAAATCTCAAGATGTTTGAGAGGTTTTGCGCAGGGCAATTGTATGTTGAATTCAAGGTCCCTCAATTGTTGCATGATATCTTGTATTTATAGAACTAACTTAGCGCAAAATCCATTTGTGACCATCAATCACCACAAATAATAATTTATGCGGAGATGATGATTATCCAATGAAAGTCGTGGCAGTCAACGTCTTTGGTGCTAACCACGCATTTAGCCAAAACCACGTAACAAAGCTTGGCATGCCAATTCCTTCTTTGCTAAAGATAAGCATTGTCGTTCAAACCTTGGAATATCAAGCTTTATCCACAGAATAATCACTTCATTTGGCAGCCTTGAGTTTGCTAATAATTATCCCATGCATGCATCACAATGGCTTACTTCACGTAATTAATCATTCAAGTTGGACTCCACCTTGGTTACCAACCGATGCCACTAAGACTCTTTTTATAATGCATGATGCTCAATCCCCGCGTTGAATGCTGAGAATCCCAAACTAAATTGAACTATTTTGCTTGCTTCGATATAGTTTGAGTCACATTTATCTCATATAAGAAAAATGTCAATATAATTCATTATTAAAAGATAATTACCATGATTAAAAATCATAATATTATCCTTTAACAACAACAAAATTATCAGAACTTTCTTATTCGACAATTAAGAATCATCATTACTCAACGGTCTCGATCGCTTGGACCGATGGTGTAAAATCAAGTCCGAACAGTACTATATATTTTAGACGCCTCCTTATCATACCCCAAGTGATCATGTTGCTATTGAAGTTGCATCTATTTTATTTTAATTAAGTTTTTGGTTTGGTTGGGTGCGTTGTATATTTTACTTATGTCAATTATATATTTTTTACCTTTTTTTTTTATCTTGGTATATTATGTATTGTTAGTTTGATACGTATAGATATTAAGGTACATTTTATAATGTTGATTTGGCACGTACCGGTCCTTTGGTTCAAATAGTAATATTTATTTGACACATACTAGTCATTTGGTTCGCACAACTTCTTGAGATGCTATAAAAGCTTTATATGTTATCTGTTCTCAAATTTAGTTCATTGCTTTATATTGGTACATTACGTAATGGAAGTATGAACCAAGCCATTATTTTGGTACATGATGTCATGTATATTTTCGGACGTTTCACTCATTTGGTACGTTATATAGTATTATTTTCGCACATATATACCTAAAAAATTACAAGGTACAACTCTTACTTTTTTTTTGAACAAATGATCTCTTAACTAAGGGAGAGAGTGTAAGCTTAGCTTCACAATGAGTCAACAATAATATGGTTCAAATTCGTTTTTGACGAGAATCAAACCTAAAACCTCTCATTCATAGATAAAAAAAAATACCACTAAACTGTATTACTAAGTGGAACAATTCTTACCTTTTTATGGTTTAAAGAAAAATGAAAAAGCTTGAAAGCCCTTATGCCACACGTACCATAGACGTCAATGATGCGATAAACCCAAAATCCTCAACAAAAGCGTGAGAGATAAATCGGATAAAACAACTTGAACTAGCATTTTAATTTCAATAATTTGAATTAGTTGGAGCAGCTTAATCAAAGTTTGAAAATCTTAATCAAATATTAAAAGGGAAAGAATTAATGTTCAATAAAAAAAGTGGTCAAGAGGAGCGGTGGATTATAATTATTTTTACTTTTATTGAAAGACGCACATTGGCCTCGTCATTGACTCATTGACTTTCTTAGACCATCTCCAATGGTTGGGCTAAAAGCCAAATTTTTTAGCCCGGAAAATTTAGCTTTTAGCCCAGAAACAACTTTTCTGCTCCAACCGTTCTGGCCTAAAATTTTAGCCCGGGATTATTAAAGAATGAACTTATGCTATTTTTTTTTGTTAAATTAATTTTTTTAAAAAAAATAAATATGTAGACTATCGTAAATTAATTTTATGAACATTTTAATCTAAAAAAATTTAAATTCCGATAAATATTGAAAAATCACTAAATTTCCCACAAAGCAAGCCGTCAACTTTTACCAATCTTTCAACTCTGGGCTAACTTTCAATTCACCAAACTTTGAACACCAAATTTTCAATTCACCAACCGTTGAACACCACACTTTCAACTTTCACCAACTATATAAACACCAAACTTTCAACCAACCATTCACCACCAAACTTTCAGAAATCATCCT